TGGCACTAGCATTCATTGACATATCATATGGCACGCGTTCTGATAAAGCCATATACACTCGATGATAATTTACACATGCAAAAGCAGTGAAGTAAATATCTAGCCCCTGAAAAATGTAATTCTGTTACTAAAAGAAATGTCTTCCACCCAATAGAAAATTCCAACCCCATTCCCTTTTGCATGTTAAAAATCAAGAACTTAACTCTGTAAACAAGACTGCTCAAGAAAATGAAACACATAATTAGAACTTAATTTTAGAGGAAGGAACTGATAATTGTGTGATTGCCCTTCAGCTGTGGGAACATCTTGCTCCAGTAAAGGTCCCATTGAATTATGTAAGGCCACTTGTGGAGCAAGATAATATTCAACACAAATATTAGTTTAGAGTCTTAGATAATAAATTATTTCATCAGCAGTCCTACAGAACACATGCTTGATCTGAAGGGTCAAGACCATCACATTTTTCTGTTAAATGGTCTCTACTCAATAGGAATACTGCCAAATGAAAACTGCTACACACATTAAAAGCAAATTCTTATATGCACGCTTATTTAATATATTAAGATTTGAAATTGCTGCATTTTAGAACTCTGACTCTATTCTCATTTTCTGTTTTCTAGATATTTCCTCATTTAGGTTATTTTTCTCCTCCACTTCTCATTTGGCAGTGGAAAAAAACCCCTCAGTTGCTTTCATCATATCCAGAAATTCAAATACGTAAGTGGTTACACGCATCAGTCACCATGACACATTGCAATGTCCAGGTTACAAAGAACAATATAGCATGTTAAATTCCAAAGCATCAGTTCCTTTCTTTAGACTTGTAGAAAGCCACAGAACCAGCTGACTTGATGGCTCATTAAAACATTATTTTTACAAAATCTATGTCTACAGACCAAAACAAAACTATTACTTCCACAAAAACATTTCTAGGTTCATTTGAGCAGATTTTTAACAACAAATTTGAAAGGGCAATAAAAGAAAACAAACAAACAAAACTAGAACCCACACAACACAAAACCAAACAAAGAACCCAACAGCAACAACAAAACAATCCCTGGCTGTATTAACCTGTTTCACCTGATTGAATCGTCTGCTGAATAATTCAAAGATTGAAACATTATAGTCAAAGTGATTACGAAATGATTATATATATATATATAAAAGAACATGGAATTTAAAAACTCAGAGCAATGAAAGTACACTACAGTATTGCAGCTGTGCTGATTTACATTATTTAAGGTATTGCCTTAATATCCACTACACAATAACTGGATGTATGCAACATTTCAAGTATTTATTTCTGTTCTATTTTTCTTCCCTTCGAGGAAAAATTCAACAATTAGAACTCCTACTGGAAGGCAGTTTCAAGAGACAGACTATAATCGTGCTATCTCTAGCTTTAAAAATGCAAAATAGTCACCTTCCCCCACCTGCCTGCAAAAAAGCATCCCTCTATCCACACTTTTGCACTTTTTGAATCACCTGAAACAGCCTGCTGATTAGATTAGACACAGGTTAATTTCCAACTAAATCGCCTCATGACATATCACAAGGCATCACGATCTCACAGAACAGTGCCTCCATTATGCGCTATGACATTACTAGGCGATATATCATGTTCAGACAGTGCCATCTTTTTAGTTGCCTGTCACTACAAAACATTCCTGTTTTAAGTAACAACAAACCCCAACTTTATTTTCATGAGTGAGTTTATACAGTTGTTGAATGCTGTTTATACATGTTGAATCTTGGAAGTCAAGAAGGAATACTGCCAAACAGCTATGCCAAGCAGAACAGAAATGGTCATGACTTCCATAATCAGCCTGCCTCCAGCAATGTTATCATCCTTGGAAGTTCCTCCAGAAGGACAGTTAACAAATCTGGCTGTTCAGTAAAGCAGTTGGTAAGAAAGATTTGCTAGTGAAGGACCTTGGTGCTCTTCTGTGCAAGATGATGTACATCTCTGAGATGACTGCATCTCTGCAGCTCTCAGTGAGAATGAGATGACCCAGGCAGAGCAATGGTCTTTCAAGTTAAATTGCAAAGAATTTTGGAGCAGGGTTAAACCCAGGTGGTTTTGTAACCTCTGGGATTCCTCAAGCAGTGCCTAGAGGAAGGGATTATTGCTGATGTTATGCCTGATTCCTAGCTGTTTGAACGAAGCCAGCTCATCTCTCGCAAGCTTCTGCACCACTGAGTACATGCACTGCCCCTTCCTTATAGCTGTGGGCTCTCACTCACATTCCAGGCAAAACTGAGCACAGCTGGGTCTGTCTTACAGACATGGGTGTTTGGACATGGTCTGACATTTTTCATTTGTAGAAGCAGACAAGTAGTTGCCCTGACACACAATTAGTTAATCCTAAAATGGATGGTAAAATTAAACTAAAGATACAAATTTGACTCAGAGCATTTTTATTTTTTTTTTGTAAAATCTGTTAATACACAACCACAACCCATAATTAAAGACTAATGTGATTATTTTCATGGACTGCCACTGCTACATTGTGTCATAGCCTCATATTTAATTTCATTTTGTATGTACATCATGAAAAATATGACTTTCTCCCCTTTCTCAAACCTCAAAATTCCATCTTGTCCAAATGTCCCCCCATGGACCAGAGGAGGTGAACACAGCTATTTGCACAGACATCAAAAGGCAGAGAAATACTGGTGTTCTTTCCTACAAAACTGCTTATATAGCATCAACAGAATTAAAAACAGGGTGATGGGGGAGGACACTCATAATATATTTGCATTAGACAACTTTCATTACCAAATTTACAAACAGCCATAAAAATAATCTCCCATCTACAAGAAAAACAACCGGGCATTTATATACTGCTACAACTGCATAGTCCTCACACAGCATAGTCCTTATTTCAGCTTTTTAGACTATACTTAGAATTTGGCTCAATTTGCCATCTAAAAGAATCTGATACCTTATCCCTAGGCCTGTTTATTTCACATGTTGAAAGCATCAAACAGCTTGCTGCAATTGGCATATGTAGTTAAAAGAGGACAAAGCATTACATTATAGTAGCATAAAAACATCCAAGTACAAAATCTTCTATGAAAGGGGCTGGCAGGGGGTGGGCTGTTTGAAAAAACAACAGCTGTACAGCCAGTATGTCTACATCATGTCCATAGCCTCTTGAAACTTAAATCAAATGTCTTCAAATGATACAAGCGCTTTCCCTTTTTCTTGTCATTTATCATTTTTTGGCCTAATTCTATTTTTTCTAGCGTTTTTCAAGCCCTCCTAGTTCATTACAAGCACACCTCATAGGAACACTTTGTGGACTGGATTTTTAACTTCATTTAAAACTACAAGTGGGCATACCAAAACCAAAGGCACTGAACCACTTCTAGAAATTTCTTACTAGGAACTATAGGATCTTACACCGGACACATGTTCCACAGAACTCACAAGAAAAAAAAGCAGCATCTCTTCCTTACTCTAAAGAATGAGACGGATTTTCCTAAGAGTTTCAGCCTTGCTCAGCTTACTACTCCACTTAGTCTTGTTGACTTTGATGATCTAAAGCTAAGTTAAAACAAGGGTGCTAGAAAATCCCAGCTCATTTAAATAGCCACTTAAATAGGAAGAATTGCTTGCCCATATATATATATATGAGGTCTGTGCTGAAAACTAAACAAGCCTTATTTGTTGTTTTGTTTCTATTTTACAAGAGTTAGGTGTTTTGGATGGCCATTTAGCTAGCAGCCATATCTGTCACAAACAGACTCATTGGGGATTTAACATAAGCCAAGCTCATTTTATACAAATATTCAGGTTTGGTACTTCTGATAAGCTTCCATGACAATGGAACAATTACAAGACCTGAAAATAAATAATGCTTTAGTCAATTCGACCTTATTTTAAAAAATGATTCATGGCAGTTCACTGACTGAAAGTAATTTGGCTTTTTATATTCTTTGGTAATTATTCTGACATATTCCTTGTCATTTAGCCAAAACATTTCATAGGTCAAGGAGAATAGATGAGATTTCCTGGTCCATCAGATCCAGCTCCTCTTTTCTGGGAGTTAACCATTTAACAAAGCCCTGCTCACGGGGCAGTCATAGGTGGAAAAGGTATCAGGATATCTGATTTCACAGTAGAGGAAGTGGAAGGTTGGAAAGAAACAACCAGTAATCAGGAAGAATCTGGGGAGGCTTTATAACATTTTATATCATTGTACACATAAATAACAGCCAAAGGAAGTCTGTAATTAGATTAGGGTATTTTTAGATGATTCAGGCTTTGCATGAAAAGCTGTATGGTGGCACATTTTTACTACCAACATAACTTGACACTTTGCCCTAGCAGCTGAGGATTTATAAATCTTTTTCATGATTGTGTGCTTTTTTCAGCAGATGAAGATGCGAATATTTAACTCTGAGAGCATACAGTTTTATTACCCAGAAAACAGTTATATACTGATAAGATATTAAGCTCTACCAAGAGGAAATCTTACACTGTATTCAAAAAGACTAAACTCTGTACTTTTTCAACATCTAAGGAAGCCTGATCAGTTACTACATTCTCTATTTTCTACTCAAATTAGACCATGAAAGATGTTCCAGGCAGCACAGGGCTACTATCCCTTACCAAAAACTATGTTATGCTTTCAAGATGTAAAAAGGGCTACAAAGGGAAAAGGTAAATCAACATAGGAAAAATATTTGCATACTGCTGCTTTTTGAAAACTCTCTTTTTAAAATCGTATTTCTGTACTAAAGCAGACTATAATATCATCACAATCTTGCAATACTTTGTGCTTAACGTTCCCTTTAATGTAATCTCACTTTTTTTTTTTCAGATTATAGAATAGACACCAAAATCCTCTATTTAGATCTGGAAAGCCAGACCCAAACCTCCTAGATTTTGTTTCTTCCCGATTTTTTAAGATGGACAAATCAGTTTACAGATCTGCCTGAAAATACATAGATATATAAATTAATTTCAGGAAGTCTGGGAGCACAAATCTTACCTCTTAGCAAAGAGGTGCCCGTGCTTTGGGGAGAAGAAGGAAGCAAGCACTTTGCAGGCTGGTAGAGTTGTGCTCTCATCCTCTGCCATAGGGAAGTCCAAACGCCAGATTTGTACTTTTGAGAGAAGGAGATAGGAGTTTGCAGTCATTACCTGCCGTCAAAAGTGTACGTGTATGGGGAGGACGGACAGCCACTTTCTCACCCTGGTGTGTTTCTTATATCAAATGAGAGGTAATGAGAGTTTGGGTTACCTTAGGTCAACCGGCTCAAAGGCTGCGGGTCGTGTGCAAGGGCGGTGCAAACGTTCCTATCACCCCTCCTTCCAGCCGGGTGAGGCTGCATTAAGGGCCATTGGGCCTCTGCCTGACCGCCTAATCACCCCATCAGCAGCCCATTAAGGTGTTGCAACTACTACATCTCGTTAATCCTTTCGCCACGATTTACGGCCCTAACACCTCAGTCCTACAGTCTTGCTTCATGCTGATCTCAAATCCTTGTACCAGGGAACTGATTGTATTTGGGCTGGCTGGGGTTGATACGGCTCAGTAACAGAACTTAACCCTTTTTACTTGTGAAACACTGGCAAACTGATGTATTCAGTGATGAAGGCAAAGTTTTGGTGAACACATTTCAGCCCTCCTCAAGAGTTCCTGACCCCTTTAACTGTCTGCTAGCCATTATTCATCGCATGTGATTTGTGATCTAAGCCAAATGACTTCTTTTTTTTTCTGCTGTCCAAACAGATGCCTGAAGTATCGTTCAGGAAAATAGGGAAGAGTAAATAAAGAAGAGTGAACAGCAGAACTGAGTGTTCCAGCATGACTACCTTTGTGCAGGTATTCATATGGCACTCAGATATTCTCCAAAATCAATAGTGTATTATGTGAGCATTCATGCTTGGTAAGCAAGGTATATCATGAGTGTTGAATGAAAAAGATTCCAGGGGATTCACACCTATTAGTTGTTAACATTGGTTATTGGTATCTAGCTGTCTTCAGGTGTCCGGGTGTTCACTCTGGCATGAGAAGGTGCAACTAAAAACAAAGTGCAATACGGTTTTTCCTGGATATCTTAAATCTTTTCTTCAGATAAAAAAGGCAGTCACATATTTACAAAGCACTCAGGGAGGTGCTTTCTGGGTATTTGGCATTCTTTCTTAATTTACATCTGTCACAAAATACACGTGCTTAATCACTCCTTGCATGATCTGTAAATGATGAATTGCAATAACTTCCCAACTTTAAGGCAGGAAGTAGAGAGAAGCATACATTAATAATAAGCACACACTGTAAAACCCATTCTCAGAATACAGATTCAGGAGCATGGGCTTCTGCATCCATTTTCTTCAGCTTTAACTTAACTTGAATCAGTAAGAGATCTTACATATGCAGTGCTAGAATTCCAAGCTGAAGTCAGGAAACATTGCCAGAAAAAAATACCCAGCTTCTGATTTTATGCTCTCCTTTCTCTGTTGTTCTAATGACTATTTCATGCATTTATTTTGGTAATAGGTAGGGGGAAGTTACTAATCCACTGGTATTCTCAGAATTAGTCAAAGTTAGGTGCATCGAGATGATAGAGCACCATGCAGACAGCCAAGCTAGTACCAAATCAGAACTTGAAACTGTTTTTTTTTCTTCACAGCCCACCTAATGTGGCAGTATCATTTCTGGTCTCAGCCTGAGCTCATTCTAAGTCTGCTTGAGCACCTTTTCTCCTGTAACATATAAATCTAAGTACAAACAACACAGCTAAGCATTTATTAGGATTTACAAACCTGGCCCCTAGTCAGACATCCAGTATCCATGACTCAGCTCCTCCTATAACTTCAAATCCAGCTGTACATTACCGACAAATGTGTATCTCAGTCATTTGCATGTGATCCTAAGTCAATCAGATAGAAAATGTTTTGACAGAGCAGTTTTGTATCAACATCCTCTAACCTGCCAGATAGAGTCCATTTCTGGCACAACAGATCAGTAAAGTCAAAATGCACCATTCATGTGCTGGTTTAACTTCCTGTAATACAGATTATAATATACAGTTTATAATTTAAGAATAATTTTTTTTTAATATTTCTTTTTGCCATTTACTTAATGTATTTTATGCAGTTTCTACTATTCCACTTTAAGAGGGATATAAAATTTTTTAGCCAAATCAGAAGAAAGCCAACTCTCTCCTCTCCGGCAGGGACCACAAAACACAGCAGAAATGCAAGGAACCTTTCTCTGGGACATCCCCTCTAAGTCCTGCAACTGGTAGTTGTACATTTCCAGACTTCCAGGCTGTAAGCTGGAGAACCAGCACTTTATACCCTTTAGTCATTTATTGCTTAAACAGTTTTGGAAATCTCACCTCTTATGACTGAAGTTTTTAAAATATTTCAAGAATAAAACTAAAATGCCCTCAGGGCCTTCAATTAATTCCCAAATAATTTATAAATTTATCATTTCCCATTGAAATTTAGGTACTTTCTTGGACTGACACTTCCATGTAGGACTGGGGAGAGTGGCTAGTAATACTAATGTTTATTAGAAGATACTAAAGTTTTTTAGCAGTCCTACAAAGCAGTTTACATAGTTACACTATAGATAATTACACATAGAAAATTCAGCAGCACTTAAGCCAGGCAAATAATCTATTTTGTTGCTAAAAATTGATCGTGCAGTAGCTTTTGATAAATCATCCCTTTTAGTATAGCATGGAATTACTGAATACTGAAAATGTTCAGTTACTAAATAACACACTCAAATATGTCTTCTGTGTTAATGCTGATATGAATTTTATACTGACTTTGACCCTAGAATAATTCTTTTTTTCATCTTCCTACAAGCTGTCTATGCAGAATGGTTTATTCTTAAAGCAAACTATTTAAATGTAAGTTTATGACAGTGTGAATGATTACTTTTCTGCGAATGGCCAAAAATATCATAAGAATTTGAGATAAAAATTTAACTTAGTTCACAATTCACAGCCAATGAAATGCAAATTAAAAAATTAGGTGCCATTTTAGAAAGAGAAAAATTATTGCTGTATATTCATGTTTTTCTATAGTAGTGTTAACTAAGAAACTCATTTAAGATGGTACAAAGGGATTCCTGTGATAATGAGCTTGCATTCATGAATGCCATTATTTCCATTGGTAAATTACATTTACAAAGAGCTCAATTAACTCAAGGTAAAATTGTTACAGCAGAAGAAATCTGGGGAAGGCAGGGAAATCCCTAACACTGCGGGGTGGTTGATCAATATTGCTCTAAAACCAGCCATGAACATAAGACATGTCTTTTAAAAGCAATTAAGAAGGAAAAAATAAAAATTAATGGAAGTTGAAAGTCATTTCACTGCTGCTGAAAATCATTTCCATTCTTCTGAGGGCATTACAAAGGCAAATGACACAAGAGAAGAATTTTCAAGGGCACAGAAGGGCAAATAAGTGCCCAAGTCCCATTAAAAGTTTTTGACTGTTTCAAATAAATCCTCTAGAAACAAACATAGGGCATTAATTTATGGTGAAATGGGAAACAAATTGTTTTCCTCATAGCATTATGAATTGCAGTGCTAAAGCAAGGAGGAGAACAATTTAGATAACCCTATCTCTCAGACAGCAGAAAAAGAATTCAGGGTTTTTTGCACTGAACAAGTGATTGATGGTAATGAGAGAGATATCAAAATAGCAGTAGAGTCATTCATTGAGATAAACCTACCCATAAGGAAGGCACCCACAACATCATGATGATGATTTTTCATCAAGTTCATGACATACAACTATTTGACATAGTTCATGGAGAAATTCCCTTGAGCAGCACTGAGCACTTAGCAGCACTGACTGCTTTGTCTTAATCCAACAGAACACAGAAAATACATGGAATGATGGTTTTAAGCACATTCTTAAAGATGAAAAGCTACTGTTTGATTTGTTAGACAATGAACAATTGTACCTGTGCAGATTCTACTAAAGATGAACTGCAAATATTGATATTATTTCTATCTAACTTTTCTGTCTGACAGCAGAGTGCCAGGAATGTATAAGGCATAACCGAAGTATCACAGGCTTGTCAAAGAACTTTTCATTCAAGCCTAAAATACTGGTTTGCTCTAGTTTATCTAAATGGCAACAACAGGATTTAAAATAAGTGACCTTAATCCCTTTCCCCCTCCCACCACGAATCTTGGGAAAGGCTGCATTTCTGGAAGTGTGAAGAGTTGAATGCATGTATAATAAACTTGAAATCCTTTTGAGTTCTCTGGAATACAGAAAAAGAATTATGCTATAGTTTCATGCAAATATCTTATTCACAGGAACATGCCTTTATTGTAAATAGAAAGACATATGCCAATGTGGCCCACTTGGCAATCCTATTGCAAAGGTGCATGAGAGGGTAGACACAATCCTGGCTTGAAGCTCTCCCCCGTACCCATGATGATCAGATTACATATTGCTCTAAAACACAGAGTCTAGGAGAGTTCATTGAGCTCTGCAAACCCAATGGAAAAAAAAAAGGAACAACCAGAAAAACAACCCCCCCAACAAACAAGAAAACAAATCCTAGCCCATCCTCCTGCCCCAAAAGGCAACAAAACATATAAAAATTTGAAGTGCCTTCTTATTTCATTACTTTATAACTTCAGAGATACAGTGAAACCTGCTCTCAACTAACTGATAGTTCTAAAGTGATTTAATATCCTCAGATGAAAGTAGCCATATAAAAAGTAAGTGACAATAGATTGGTATTTGTTATTTCCTGGCATACACACAACATGTTCTCATTTATGTGGCAACAAAGCAAAGAAATCTCAGCATGGTTTATAGGTGGGGAAGAAAGAAATCATTTTCTAAGTGCCATGTATAGAGGGAAGGATGTGTTAAACTAAAAAGATTGAAGCAGTTAAGGAGAGAAGCAGTGTTTGAAGATCAGTGAGTAGCTCTTTATAGGAAAATACTGCATTGCATTCTTTCTGTGCCCAGATCTCTTAAAACAAACACAAGTTAAATGCTCCAAGTGTGAAGGGACAGTCACTGAAGCCATGGGACGGGAATGGAAAGGAAAAAAGATGGAGAGGTGCAGTAGCTGGAACAAGGTCTAAGGACCCT